GGGGGGGGGGGGGGGGGTGACTTCCCTGTAATAAATCTTGAGGAAGGCCTGGGGGCTTGATGCAGGCTCCTAAGAATGTTGCTAAGAATATAAAGTGGGGAGCAGCAGGGGTGCCCTGGGGCAGGAGCGACTTCCTGCTGACTGAGGTGGGATTTTCGTGTCTCTGAAGTACCCAGAGCTACTGGTCGCCTCCTACAACAACAACGAGGAAGCCCCCCACGAGCCTGACGGCGTCGCCCTCGTGTGGAACATGAAGTACAGGAAGACCACACCCGAGTACGTGTTCCACTGCCAGGTGCGTGTGGAGATCAGGATCACCCCCCATCCTCCTGCACTGTGATTTCACCCGCCTGGCTTTCCGCCTCCATCACATCTGTCTGCACACGTTTTTTTGTTTTTTTTTTTGGTGGCTGCTAACAGCCGCCAACGTGAATGATTGGGTGAACGAGCAAGTAATTAATCATTCGCAGTGAGTGTACTCAATGTGGGCTGTACGCCGCCATTGCTATGGCGACCTGCACCTCATCCCGCTGCCCCCCCCCCCCAGCCTGCTCAGTGTTAGCACAGGTTTCCCAGGACAGCATCAGCTAAGTGGAGACACGTGTGGGGCCGGCCTAGGGTTACAGCAGACTCCCCCCAACAAATATGACAGAACAGAAGTGTTGGCTGTATATAGCAAAACTGGTGTGTGTCAAGGTCTGGGATACATTACATGGTAATCTAACATTCAGTACTTGTAGTAGACATGTTTAATGCAGAAGAAAGGGACAGGAATAAAGATCTGAGTGACAAAAGCCAAATCGTTATGGTCAGGAGACTGGGTCAGCATCTCCAGAACAGCAAGGCTTGGGGGTGCTCATGGTCAGCCATGGCGCGTACCTACAGAGAGTGGTCCGAGGAGGAAAAACCATGAACCAGAGACAAGGTGCTGGGTAACCAGGACTCGTCGATGTAGGATGTGAACAACGGTATCACAAACCAACATTCTGTTTGTGATACAAACCAACAGAATGACTACTGTGGCACAAATGGCGTATAATTTTGATGATTCTCATGGGAGTAATGTGTCACAACAACCAGGGCTTCGAGCATGTGGTGCTGTGTAGCCATCAATCGGACTTGTCGGTCCAACAAATTCCACAGATGCTCCAGGACTCTGTGTATACCAGCAGTGTATCTGTTACAGTTATTACTGTTGTCACAGACAATGTTGGTGTAAATGAGAAATACAACATTTAGACATTGAAATAGTTAACCACATAACTGTTGGAGAAAGTGAATGTATGTATGTCCAATTGTGCAATAAATGAATAGATGTAGTTTCAGTTATGTGTAATGACTTAGAAGTCAACATTCAGGTAAAAACAAATTCATTGGCTTTCACATTTCCTGTTGATCCATCCATAGATTGGGGGGGGGGGCAGAGCTGTCTGGAGAATACATAGCTGTCATTCTGACAGCATCCTTTCTGGATCATATTGAAATGGTCTGTATTATTAAATGCTGCACCTACACTATGGATATGAATTTGTTTGAATTAAGTTACATTTTTTTAATTCTACACCCATAAATTCAAACTTGAATTCAACCGCAGTTCAATTCAGATTTACTTATTAAATTGGAATTTCAGGACCATTCACAATTCAGTTCTAAATGGTGCACACCCCTGAAGTCATGGTGCATTACTCTCATGACCATTGTTACAGTTATCTGTGCACTTCTGTTGGTTCGTGCTACATGGGATAGCTCTCAGTAGGTCCTCACCACGAGCTCCCCACAAGCCTTGTGGTTTCAGAGATGCTCTGACCCAGTCGTTAGGATATAATGAAATGGCCTTTATCAAAGTCATGCAGATCTTTATTCCTGCCCATTCCTTTTGCATTAAACATATTGACTATGCTATTTTAGGTTACTGTTTAGTATATGCCAGACCGTAGCACAATTAAACAATCAACGTTATTCACTTCACATGGGTCATAATGTTTTGGCTCATTTGTGTGCGTGTGCGTATGTGTGTGTGTCCGTGTGTGGGTGGGTGGGGTGAATAGAAATGACAGTGGTTTATATATCTTTAAAACCTGATCCAGGCCCCCCAGGAATCCGGTAAACGGCCTCATCGTTTCACAGCGGCATCTGCATGTGATGCATGGTGAAGTCCGGCGACAGGGGTTGCATCTCTAACAGCCAGTGTGTGGCGCTGTGACCTCTTCACCCTCTCTCTCTCTCTCTCTCTCTCATCCCCTCCGAGCAGTCTGCCGTGATGTCCACCACCTTCGCCAAGTTTCACCCCAACCTGGTAGTGGGGGGCACCTACTCAGGCCAGATTGTCCTGTGGGACAACCGTAACAACAAGAGGACGCCCGTGCAGAGGACCCCTCTGTCAGCCGCGGCACACACGGTAATGGTCACATGGCAAGGTCACATGGTCAGGGTCAAAGGGTACACTCTGGGTGTTGGGGGGCGACATGTTATGCTATGCATGCGCGTGTGTGCGTGTGTGTACACGTGTACACATCCTTTCCAGGGTGTTTCCTCTCTTGTATCCTGTACTTCTTTGGCTAAGCTGCTCACTGCCCTGTACTGAATATGTGATATGCGAATCCTTGCTTCCTTGGTGAGAGGTTTATTTCAGTTTTATTGTGTTGTATCCTGTATTTTTCTTACATCATATACATTTATAATGTGGATGCCAGTGAGAAGGGAAGTTAGTGGAGTAGACTGTAAGCCTCGCGTGTGGTGAAGCCTAGCTCTCTCTTCTGTGTGTGAGCCAGCATCCCGTCTACTGCGTCAATGTGGTGGGCACGCAGAACGCCCACAACCTGATCAGCATCTCCACGGACGGGAAGATGTGCTCCTGGAGCCTGGACATGCTCTCCCAGCCTCAGGTGAGAGCCAGGGCCTTCAGGGGTGCCTCCACTCACCGGATACCTCTTTTGCAATAGTGCCGTGCCGGTTCTGACAGGGAGCTGGTTCTCAGGTGCCAGATCCTGAGAACCAGCCTGCATTTCTGCTGGTTAATAACATTTATAACTGACGGTGAGTATGCACATAACTATGGCCGTGTGCCATTTTGCAGTTTATTATATATGTTTTGTTTAGGCTAATGCTAAATAAAATTCTGGTTCTTATGTTTTCAGCAAACACTAAAATCAGACAAAACATCAAGTACTGGAAATAAAAAATGTGGCTCTGCTGAAGTTTACAACACATTGTAGCCGCTCCCACACACAGACATCATGGGTTGGCAGTTTGGCAGACCAATTCTCTGGAGCCAGGCCGAAGCCAGTTTTTGAGGCACGGCACCAGATGATTGGCAGTTGAAAAGCGTAGAACTGGCTCAGCACCAGCACCTCATTGGCTTTGGTTCTCCTCTCCCCGCTCAGTAACATGCACCTACCCGCCCTTTAAATAAAGGCTATCGCCACTCTGAATGCTGCTATGAAATCACTCAAACAATGATTTGGGAATGACAGTTATTTATGAATCCTTTTGTTATGACAGTAATTTATTTTATGTTTACAGCATATGGTTGGTACTTTTGAAATTACTGTGTGGGTTTTTTTTTTGTTAAATTCTCTCTTTTAGTTATTTATCCTTTTTTATTTTTAAGATGGGAGCCATTTTTATTTTTAAGATCCATCTATATCTATCTATATTTATCTATCTCTATCTATATATCTGTCTATATCTATCCATCTATATCTATCGCCGGCTCATAATCTACATCTTCATTCTGCAAGGAAAAAAAGATTCATTTTTACCTCTGCATGCAAAAGTATTTCTTGTTTTAATCGAGTGAGGAGTGATGGTTGTGCAGAATGTATCAGGGAGGAGGAAAGGACAGTATTGCAAAACGGAGTCTTAGGTGAGGACTAGCAAGGTCAGTGGCTGCGTGGACACTTGGTGCTGCAAGTGTTTGTCTGCAGGTGAAGTTCATTTTGTCACGATTGGGATCAGGCGAGCCGGAAAGCAGGCGAATGGAGCCGTAAATACGGACAGATGGGGTTTATTAACGACGGGATGGCTGACAGGCACAAACATCGAAACAATACAATGACGGATCTGGGGAAGACTGACTGAGACTCGGACTAAATACAAAAGACAAGCTAAGGGTAACGAGCAACAGGTGGGAATAATCAGGCAGAAACAGGAGGTAACGAGGTGGGCGTGGCACACATTAGCATCGGACGGAGCGGGGCGTGACACATTTATGTCAGTTGTGTCATATGCCTGTCCGTGTGAGAAGACGTATGAACCGGCCTGTGGAGTGGTTTTGATCCTGCCAGAGAGATTTTCCAAGTGTTCATCTTCCTGAGCCAAGGAGGCACACAGTTTCATTCAAACAGCTCTCTCACCGCCCCACTGATGATTTTAGGCATGTCTAGGCTTTTAGGCCATAATTATTGTTGATATTTTTTAACCTGCTCCTTGTTAGTTTTGTTTGTGTTTTTCGCTAGAGGTAAAATCCCAGTGTGTGCCACTGCAGGACAGCCTGGAGCTGGTGTTCAAGCAGTCCAAAGCAGTGGCCGTCACCGGCATGTCCTTCCCCCTTGGAGACGTCAATAACTTTGTGGTGGGGAGCGAGGACGGGTCCGTCTACATGGCTTGCCGTCATGGCAGGTATGTGGCCCACAGTCAGAGGCATCATTGCCCTTGAGCAGCATGATGGTAAAGGGCTGGTGCAGTGGCTTCAAAACCTGCCGCTAGATGATTTTCTGTAACTAGATTAGCCACATAGTGTCATTCTGTCTGTCTCCTGTTTTGGACTGACCTCCTGTCCTGGGTGTCCCATGTTATGCTCTGTGCTTCCTGGGACAAGGCTGTAGGCCCACTGCCCCATACAGGATAAGCAACCAGGAAAACAGATAAATGTAATATTCTCCTCCTGACTAATGTTAAGCATTACTGTCGTTTCAGCTTAATGCTCAATCCGGCATATCGATGTGGCATCAGCCTCATCTTTCTGTGATTTTTTTTTTTTAAGCTGACCGATGCTCGCCTGCGATTGGCAGCGCCCGCTCCTTTGAAGGAATCCGATAGAGTGCCCATGTGCATCTGCTGCTTCCTTGGGTGGGGGAGGCACGGGGCACTGCCCGTTCTCACAGTGTCACCTCTCTGCCACACAGCAAAGCGGGCATCAGTGAGATGTTTGAGGGCCACCATGGGCCCATCACAGGGATCCACTGCCACACGGTGGGCGGGCCCATCGACTACTCGCACCTCTTCGTTACCTCATCCTTCGACTGGACCGTCAAGTTGTGGAGCACCAAGGTAGGGGGCTTACATTCAGTTAGGGAGCTGAGGGAGCATAGAAGAAGTTGCCATATTCAGCACAGTAGGTCATGCTGAGTACTTACAGGCAGGATGGACTTGAGCCACTGTCAGCATACATCTGCATGCCCACTGCAGTCCACCTCCCATCAGTAAATGATGTTTTGGTGTAACTGCTTTATTCAATCCTCAAGCCGCCCCCCCCCGGTATACCGCTGGCATGTTTATTTATTGGTGGGGTGGGGGAGCGCCACGGCGCAGATGATGTAACCCATGTGCAACTCTCGTTTCTGACTCCACCCCCCGTCACCCCGTCAGAACAACAAGCCACTGTACTCCTTTGAGGACAGCTCGGACTACGTGTACGACGTAATGTGGTCCCCCACCAATCCCGCGCTGTTCGCCTGCGTCGATGGGGTGGGCCACCTCGACCTGTGGAACCTCAACAACGACACTGAGGTAAAAACAGCCATTGCGTGCCTCTGTTGGTGAATCGCACGTGTCCATCCGGAACTTTCTGATGCACTGGCCGGCACTGTGAAGATGATGTCATTATTACCTGAAGCAGCTGCTGTGTTATTAACCGCTGGGTGAAGCTGGTTAGCAGTAGAGAGAGACATTCTAATTTAGATATGCATGTGTTGCAGGTTCCAACTGCAAGTATCTCTGTGGAGGGAAGCCCAGCTCTGAACCGAGTCCGGTGGACCCAGTCTGGGCGGGAGATCGCTGTGGGCGACTCAGAGGGGCAGATCCTCATCTATGATGTTGGGGAGGTGAGCTGAGGGCTGGGGGAGGAGGGGGGTAATCTGAGGGATACTAATGAGGACCTGAGGTAGGACTGCCTATGGTCCTGTGACCATTAGGCCATAACCCACTTGTTGTCGGCAGGAGGATGACCTCCACTCATGTCAATTTTGGGGAGGGAAAATGGCTTTGGTGTCTTTACCAGCTCATATCTCTCCACCCAGCAAATTGCCATTCCTCGCAATGACGAATGGAGCCGCTTTGCCCGTACGCTGGCAGAGATCAACGACAACCGCGAGGATGCCGAGGAGCTGGCGGCCCAGAGGCTGGTGGCCTGATCCGCTGGGGGGGGCTGACATCAGTGGGGCTTCAGGGAGGAACGTCTTCAGAAATCAAATGGCAAAAAAAAAAAAGTGGTATGCAAACTGACTTGCGAGTCAATCCGATCTGGAATACAGCCGTTTACCTCAAATGTCTTTTTACTCAAATTTTTAAGACCTTCAAAAGACCAGACCCCTACGCCTTAAAACTGCATGTCTGTTATACTCAGTGTAAGGTTGCTGTCATCACCCTCCACGTTCAGCGCATCACACCATGCTCTGAGGAGCGCCCCCTGTTTGCCAGTCGCCCTATTGACATCCCACACCTGTAACTGCATTCGTTCACTGTACCATGATGTGTGAAAAGATGTAATAATTCCTTCATTTTGTGTGAAACTGAAGTGTTCTTGTCATTAAGTTATTACCCAGTCATATATATTCCCAGTAGTGTAAATTCATCCAGGACCAACGGGCCTTAATAAACGAGAAGGATGTTGTACAGACATGTCAGACCATAGGAGCTTTTTTTATTTGAGGTGGATAGAATAAAATAAGACATTATACAATTAAACTGCTTATGATGTAAACAATGGTTTTCCTCCCTGTAAGACTTTCTTTTGCACATCCCACTGTGTAATGAACATCAAAACCTGCTTCTTCCAGCAAGTTAAACTGTACTGATGATTATTTCAATAAAATGCATTAAATTATTTACTCATAGTCCAACTTTTTCTCCTGAATAAAACCTCAAACACCTGTACATGAGCTATTATCCAGGATCGCAGAGATTGTTCAAACACCAAAGCGGGGGGTGGGGAGGGGGGAATGTACAATATGTACAGGACAGCATGTGCAACCTACGCAAAGCAAAACAAGGAAAGCTGTGTTCATGCAAAGTTTAAAATTAAGAGACTAATACAGTTCAGAATGAAGCCACAAGGATGAGCTCGCCGATCTGCCTGTACAAAGGATTCATAGAAATGTTTTGTAACATCTGGCTCAGAGATCATGCAAACCGGCGGAAGACTTGGGGCGGGGATCAAAGTGTCTAAGAGTCTCGCGCCTCCCTGCGTGGGGGGGGCTGGATTGACACCACCCCTGACGACTTGAATTTAGGCAAGTGCAGGCCGAACTTGTTCTCCACACCGGCAAAGGTGGCAGAGGCCAGCCTGTAGCCCCCTACGTGGTCCGGGCTCACGGGGGGCAGCTCCGAGATCCGCGACTTGGGGGTCGGTTCTGACCCAGCGGGACGGCTGCGGGAAATCCAGGAGATTGGGGGGGTGTTTATTCTTTCGGACATGTTTAACGTTCAGGTAATAATCAATTGTAAACTGAATGTTTGAAATACTTCTAATTTTCTGTCCTATTAAGTGAAACAAATAAGGCGAGTGAGTCAAGTGTGATGCTGCTTGGTTGAAATGCTCTGTGCCTCAATGTATAGATGACATGCAGGTTTGGCCAGCAAGTGTATGCTAATTCATTACTAGGATAAAAATGGTTCCATTCACAAAATTTAAAACAAAATAAATTTTCATATTGCGTGGTCATTTCATAAGTGTACCAAGTTAATGTACTTTTTTTTTTTTTTTACTTTTTAAAAGCACACAGTGGCTAAATGCATTGATAGGCAAAACAGACTGCTACCCGTGTGTCGTTGCATTCAGCATATGTAAAAAGGTCCATCTTTGATCTTTAATGTAATCTGCATGTCTTATTGATCCCAAAAGTATTGAGCCATTCAATTCAAACAGGCCTGGACTTTGTAAACCTGTCAGCTGATGTGCTCATTTTAGACCCACTCCCAAGCCAAGAATACATTAGGGGCAGCTCAACAACATCATTAGCTTGCAGGCAGTGAAAGTGGTGCATGTGGATTGAGGTGTCATATTCGTACCCAGGACACAGACACTTACTGTCCTCCGAAATCGATGTAGAACCATCGCTGCAGGAGCTCATAGGTCAGCAGGGTGACGGCGAACTGCGGGGAGGACCTGCAGACACGAGCTGAGGGAACGGAGGGGTAAATCAGCCCGATTGGAGCCTCTGGGGCGGGGACTCACTTCCTGCCCTCCACCATGCACGACACCCACCTCCAGCACCCTTCCACAGGGCCTTGAAGCCTTCCTCACGCAGGATCTTCCGGAAGCAGTCGATGACGCCGTTGTATGTGGTCTGCCCCGCACGTGCTGCCACCTGCAGTCTCGTCTTGATGACATCGGCCGGGGTCACCAGGGAGGCGGCGGGGACACCTGACAGCATGTGCGTCAACAGGCTTTAGCTCTCACGCATACCCTGGGGTCGAATTGACCCCAAAGGCACATGCCAGGTGACTTTTCTCATAGTAACAATATTTGTTTGAGCGCGTAAGAGTTCAGCAATCTGACAAGCGAGCGACACCCTGCTGGTCTTCTCCAGACCTGCGCAATACAGCCAGGGTTCGAGCCCGCTCAGTGCCACCAGCAGGTCACTATTTCCATGAAGGAAGTCATTTAAACCAATGAGAAGAGGGAGCCAATGAAGAATTCATTTTTGTGAAATTTAAATCAGTACAATTTAACAGGTGAAGCTCAAAATGACTTTCTGGGAGCTGCCTGGAACAGGACCTTATGAATCCAGCCAATGGTTTTACTGCTTTGGGCTAAGTCACCTGCAATGGCTCCGGCGGTCAGCAGCTGCACGGCGCCCAGCCGGCCCTGCTCGTCCGCCAGCTCCGCCTTGGTGTGGGCGTACACCGGAAAGTAGATGGCCGAGAAGGGGATGTCCCGCAGGAAGCAGGCCTTGGCTCCCTGGGAATGAGATTCACCCACTGAGACGCCGCCGATCTAATTCTCCTGGTGATCTGGCCTGCTGGAGCGGTTCCGCCACATTTAAAAACCGACAGCCTCTGTAACGACAACTATGTCTCAGCAGAGCAGCGCTAAGTGCTAGCAGACTCCCACAGCTGTCTCCGCATATAACGCTCGGGAAATAATGCTCGTTCATTCAGTTCACTACATCTGAGCAAACTACTGCAAAGATCTGCCCCTGAGGGGCTCAGAGAACTGGATATAGTATTGGGGACCTCCCCTGCCACGTCAGTCACACACATACGCAATCCCACAAGCCCCTTGTCTATTGTTTTCCCTCAGCCAGGGGGCAGGGGGGGGTGAATTTTTAACAAGCCCCTCACTGTCTGCTTCCCATTAAAATATGGGCCAAGGACACATTACACAAGACTTAAGCAAAGCCGCAAGAACTTGGACAGGAGCAGTAGCCAGTCATGAAGAATAATCCCCGCCCCCACAGCCATTCTGGAAAGGACCAGGCAGTTGCCACGACGGATGAGCCGCTTAATCCCCCTGCCCACAAAAGCACATCGTTGGACTGGCATTCCTCAAACATCAGAAGAGGAGATCTCCTCTGCCAAGGGCTGTTATGCTCCAAAGACCCCCCCCCCCATTTTAGGATATATCATATCATTAAAGTGATTTATGGCTAAGTAAAGACCAACTTCAAGGCTAAACGTCAACTCAAGACTGTAGGCTTCAGCCAGGAAGTGGCAGAGTGAAGAACCTTCTGTTCTATCGGGGGTGTTTAGGAATGAGCAACCCAGGAAATGCGCTGGGACCTTACCTTGTAGAGGCCGAAGAAGCCGAGGTCCTTGACCACGCTGAGCGCGCTCACCCGCGGCCCCGTGGTGATCTCCCCGGCCACCTGAAGACGGATCTTCACGATTTCCAGAGGGTTGGTGAAGATGACCTGGGAGCCCCCAGCCTAGCAGGTACAACCCAAGAGAGGCGCTGTTAGACCCAAGAGGGTCTGCAGAGACTTATGGAAATGATGAGGACTGAATGTCAGAGAGTTCTGTTCTCCTTGACGAGATCCATCACAGCACACCCTAATCAGGTGACTGACAGGGTCAGCCAGAATACGCTGAGAAGAAATGATTATTTCTGCAACGTTACTGGAAATAACACGTGCCCCCCCCCCTGCTCTCCTCATGCCAGGTAGTAAACCTCCTACAGTGGCAGAGAGGAGACACCCGACAGCCCTCCTTCATGTAAATGGCCATACTGGCCTGTCAATGACCACTAGGGTCCGGAAGTGTGAACAGCAGGAGTATTCCTGTGCAGTTACTAATGACGGGGACACTGCCTTGACGGACAGGCCTGAAGAGGGGAAGCTGTGAGCTTCATAGCCAGAAGGGCTGCCCCTTAAGTCACGCCCCCTGACCCCTGTGCCTGGCCTCTGCCCCTTCCTCACCTCACCCCCTGCACCTTCACCCCATCTCCCTCTTCCTCCTTGCACTCCCAAAGAGAGGAGCACCTCTTCATCATCCCTTGCCCCACCTCTGTTGTCTGTGCCGAAGGTGGACAGAGCCCCCCCCCCCCCCCCCCCCCCCCTGACTCCAACCCCATTCATCACCCAACCCCCAAAAATGACCCCACTAAAACGCAGGGCAAGGGTCCTTAATAAACATCCGGGGGAGCAGCTAAAAACAGCTCGAGTGCAGCTCCACGGGGGCCTTAGGACCCCACTAAAGCCCCACATCCACAAAGGATGAGTTGTTGGCAGGCAGATACACCAGGGCACCAAGAGGAGCACACAGTCGCCATAACCTCCCACTACAACAGCAAGCGCAGCTCCACAGGCTCCTGTCACGGCTACAGACAGCAAGCAGGAGGGCGCAGTGTAGCTCTGGCCTTCAGGGTCCCGGTCTTTGGTTAAGTGTAGGAGGTCAGTTCTCATCCACAGGGCACTTTGGTTCTGGGGATCCCCACCAACAGTGTGCTGGCATCACAGCTGCCCAGTTCGGCCATATTGCCAGAAGCCCAGTTATTAAATTCGCTGGGCTAAAAATGGACTGTCCACAAATGTCATTTATTTTTTGATTATGATTACAGGGCTCAATGACCCCAAAACTGCATAAAGACCTCCCATGATTCCAGTGACCCATATGGGCATGTGGGATGCTAAAGTTCTGGGAATAAACTGGAATTTAAAACTACCGATGTGAAAATAACCAACTAGTTAACCAATGGGGCATTTTTTTTTAAATCTTCTGTTCCAGATGAATATAGAATAAAAGTCATATGGAAATAGAGGATTGAAAGGGGGGGGGCGGAAAGAGAAAGAACAGGAAGATGGAAAGGGAGGATGGAAAGGGGGGGCAGAAAGAGAATGGACAGGAAGATGGAAAGGGAGGATGGAAAGGGGGGGCGGAAAGAGAATGGACAGGAACATGGAAAGTGAGGATGGAAAGGGGGGATGGAAAGAGAATGGACAGGAACATGGAAAGGGAGGATGGAAAGGAGGGATAGAAAGAGAATGGACTGGAACATGGAAAGTGAGGATGGAAAGGGGGGACAGAAAGAGAATGGACAGGAAGATGGAAAGTGAGGATGGAAAGGGGAGACAGAAAGAGAATGGACAGGAAGATGGAAAGTGAGGATGGAAAGGGGAGACAGAAAGAGAAAGGACAGGAAGATGGAAAGGGAGGATGGAAAGGGGGGGCAGAAAGAGAAAGGACAGGAAGATGGAAAGGGAGGATGGAAAGGAGGGAGAAAAGGGGGGGGCTGAAAGGGAGGACGGGCTGCATCCTACTGACAGTTGCCGGAACAAGCATGTGAGCAGCTGGACTCACTGGCCAACAAGAGCTTCTGCAGCACGCACCACAATCACGGTATCCTGCCAAACTGTATTATTTTATGTGATACCTAGTTTCTAGAACAGATAACTTGAAACAGAACTCAATTAATCCATCATTCATAACAGCTCCTCCAGCCCTGGACTGTGGAAAGTGTGGCAGGCCTCCATGAGGCAGATGTACCCCAGACAGGTACAGACTCGCACACAACCACACACTGGGGGCAAGTTGGAGACACCAGTCCACATCTTTGGGGACTGCGGGAGGAAACTGGAGTAGCCCAGACAAACATGAGAGCGGGAATCCTGCGCACGTGCTGGGGGGGGCTCTCAGACCAAAGCAGCCCTCAGTGACAGGCAGCGGGATAGCCCTCCCTCCCGCCATACTCACACAGCCACCAGCTAGCACCTCGGCCAACAGGGGGATGGTGTCGTCCTTCTCGGTAAACTTGTCCCTGACAAAGTCGTTCACCTGTGGGGATCAAACGCAGTCGCAGAGACGGGCGATGGGCGATGGAAGGCACCTGGGAACCCCCCGGGCTTGAGAGCCGGCAGGCAGGCTACGGCTAATTCAGCATCATCATTATTCAGTAACACAATTCCGGTCGATGGCTTACTGTGAGTTTGATGGCCTTCTCAGGAGCAACACCTAAAAGTTGCGGTAGTAGACCTGAAACACAGAATTCAGGATAATCAACAATATAATCATCAATGTGTCAAAAAAATAAGAATTATCTTTTTTACCAGTACGATTTTTATTTGAAGGGAGCAAAAAATAAATAATCCAGAAAGTTAGTTTTTTTTTTTTTTTTTTTTTAAAAGTCTTAATGTAGGTTTACAATAAAGGTACTTGGATAAGTAACGAACATAAAATTCATTAACATTTCAACAATTTTACTGTTCATAAACAATCAGAGGCGAGTAAATGTAGAAGAGTGACTGATAATGGGGAAGAGCTGGATGAAGGGAAAGAGGAGAGAAACAAAAACTAGAGAGATGCAGCCAGAGCTGCCGGTAGCCAGGGCAGCAGTAGGGGGCAGTCTTGGCCTTGCTCCTAGCCTCCTCCGGCTACCAGGCCAGGCCATGTCATCATCTCATGTGTGAGCAGACGCCTGCAGAGCTGCCCTTAGCCTTTCATTACACCCTCCATGTTCCTCTGCACGCATCCAAGTGAAATTAAAGCTAATTCAAGGTCTGCTTACCTGCACAGCTATAAACTCCCCCTATGCACTTATTATTAAGTATTATGTGTGGACAAAGAAGAACCACTTTGGTCATCTCCTGATCCTGAAGATCTGGAGCGCCTTCTACTGGTGTAGAGGATCTTTCTCTCATTTTTTCCTCATTGTTGTATTACAGAATGGGGGTACCCTTTGTTGAAGCCCAGGGCAGTCTCACCCCATATGACCGGTTCCCCCCAGCCCCGCCCGTACCTCTGTAGAAGCCGGAGAAGCCCTCATATCTCAGAACCTTCTTGGCACAGTCGAAGCTGTTCTTATACATCAGCTCCCCCACGAAGGAGCCCGTGGAGCGCTGGTTCTGCATGCGGGTCTTCACCAGGTCAATGGGGTACACCGCCGTCGCCCCCGTGGCTGACGGGCACAGGGGGGGCCAATCAGCATGATTTCTTTGAACACTCAGAGACAATGCAAGAAGACAGTGCTTACAGAGACATGACTAGTTAACCCTCCGGCCTTAACTAAGCATGGTATAGGGGTTGAGTCCCGAAATCTGGTGCCAATACAACACCGATTCCTATACGATCGGTTTGTACTGGACCACACTGCAGCACAGATTTTGATGCCTCATATCAGTGCCACTTTAACGCCTGAGCTATCGATTAAAATATTTGCACCCCAGACAACAGAAGCATCAATGCACCTCACGCGCCATCGCTAGCTAACATTACATTTGCTCTGATGTCAGCAGATGCCCACTGTTAGCTAATAGCTACTAAGGTAACATGGTTAATATGCCTAAATCTAAAGTCAAAAATTGCGGCTGTATTTCACTCAAAAGGATCCCAACACAGGGATATTATGTCAATTTAAGTATTTTGTGTTTATGTATATTTTATATATTTAAATTATTGTGGTTGGGTTAGGTTTTATTTATCATATGAATTTGTATTTATTTGTATTTGTGTTTTGTATTTAGATTTATACATTTCAGGTGTTAAGTAAATACACCTTTGAAATTAAAAAAAAGCCCTTCTTTGATGTCGCTAACCTTAGTTTTGTGCTTTTAAGTACCATTTCAGCACCGGTATAAAACTCAGAGGATACCCAAGCCCAGTACCGGCCGCTTCTGTCATACAGAGATGAGTGTACCAGGCCTCCCAGGTGCCATGGCAGAACCGAAACCTCCTGCTGAAATATATCCCTGGCTGAGAAACCTCCACATCCTCAGTCTAAACACTCCATACATCACGACGCCATCCCAGCATCTCTGATATACAAAATGTGAATGTCTGCCATCTATAAGCCACTCTACTGCGTGCATGTGAATGTCTGCCATCTATAAGCCACACTACTGCGTGCATGTGAATGTCTGCCATCTATAAGCCACACTACTGCGTGCATGTGAATGTCTGCCATCTATAAGCCACACTACTGCGTGCAATCGGGGTTCTGTGTCTAACGCCGCATTCAGTGTCTCCTCTGCTCCAAGCCTCCAGCAGAACCTTTTGATGTCTATTATTGGTTTGATGCATCATCATTAAGTAGAAGAGTTATATGTCTTGCATGTTGATATTCTTGAATGTTCCTGTACAGAACAGTAGGTATCAGTAAATATCACCTCTCTCTTTGGACCAATGTGAACCAGCCTGACATTCTGTCCTAACCCCCCACAGCCCAGCACACTGTAGCATTTCTGAATTAAAAATCCAGTATATTTAATTTCAGGAAATGGGCTTGATTAGGTTACTTTAGGCTTAGAATTCCATCCAGTACTCCAGCATTTTCTTTCATTTACGTAATTTTTAATTATTATAAGACTTTTTTTCTGTGTACCGAGATTAGCGTTTCATTCACTAATAATTTTGAGTCACCTTTTTATTGTATTAAATCTTGCTCAGGATGTTTTTAAAAATAGGGCATTAGTGGCAATTATACTACAGGCTTAGCAGGGCTGGTGTTTTGTGCTCTGACTGACTGGTAGATGGGGGGGGGTGGGGGTGACGGTGACGGATGAAAGGCTGTGGCAGGGAGCTTGGCCCAGCCCAGCACACCAGCCCAGCTTCGCAGGCTCGGGTTACCATGGGTGGGGCACTCACCCCCAGCGATGGAGCCCAGGGTGAACCTGTAGGCGGATTCCGCAGCCTGGAGCCAGACCGGTCGGGACACCTCACCCTGCGCCTGCTGTGGGGGTGGTGGGAGACACACCAGGATTTCAAAAAGCGGCACAGATGCTGTTCATGTAAAAGATCAGATATACAGACGCTCCTCTACTTACGAATGAGATTTCAAGTTACTAACAGCCGTTCGTAACTTGAAATGTTCGTAAGTCATTATTCAACATCATTTTAAGGGTATACGCAAGTACAAAGAACTGGGATGCTGGGAGTACGCACGCTACGCTGCGTGGAGGGAGTAGCGGCCATTAGTTGTACTAGGCGGAATTGGTGCTCAGGAAAAAAAATTATGTTGTGGACAGGAAACGGGAGCCCAATGAACACGATTTGGACTTGCAGTCCTCTTCGTTCGTATGTCTGAAAGTTCGTAAGTTGAAAGTTCGTAAGTAGAGAAGTGTCTGTATACACATTATGCCGACGACAGGAGGCGGCTGCGGAAAGTTCTAGAAAAGAACAAATGCATTGCACTGCCTGCTGGGCTGTGAGTTCAGATGATGTTTGTAGGAAAGTTTCCGCTATTCTAGTCAATAAGGGGAAAAAAAAAAAAAGTTTTGTCAGTGGTGGAAAAGTTAGACCCCAGCAGTTTGAGATCAAAAGACCCTTTGTCTGCGAGAGCCTGTCTAGCCTGTTCGGAAAGAAAAAAAAAATAACAAGACAAAAAAAAACAAACAAACAAAATAATTAGACCCCAGTGTACGTCACTGGAAATAGGTGATATTGGAGATCCTGCCCGATTAGTGACGCAGCATTTTTCACTTTCCCAGGGCTCCTCGTCCTTCGCTGGGCTTGGGTGGGGACTCGCTGCAGTAAAGACGTTTCTGACCGCATACTTTGTCTAATGAATAGGCGTTCGGTGGAATCCAGAACAATGAGCAGACAGCAGGGAGATCAGCACCTGCTTACCCCTTAAGGGCGATGCGGAGTCAGTCAATCGTGCATAATTCACAGCTACGGAAGAGCAGAGCGACACAGTACTGCAGGGCTCACAGGCTTTACACACAAACTCCTCTTTGAAAGTATACTTGGTATGGAAGGGGCGCATTTGATAACAATCTGAATTTTAAAACCACTTCAGGATTTAATTCTGGGAGTCTTGGGTGCTGCCTTCGGCATTTATCGCTAAACCAAAAAGGTAAAAAGGTTTCCAAAGGCCAGACAGGAAGACCCAGGCGTATGGGGGAGGGGGGGTGTATTTTCAAACCAACCCCCACCCCAGATCAGCATCTGTACATTGGTACCTGTCTCTGGATCTCGGCGAGGTGATACGGCAGCGCTCCCTCCTCCAGAGGTGCTATTCGCTCGATGTCCGCCAGGTTTAGGCGTCTAGAGGGACGGGCGCCATGGCAGCCAGACCGGGGGGGGGGCACAAGTGAGGTCACATTTTCCACAAAGTTTTACTAGAGTTTAGCTTGCAGTTACTGCTGCTTTAATGTGTGCACACACACGCAAATACACATATACACACACGAGCACACACACATACACACATACACACACGCGCTCGCTCACTCACTCACTCAAACACACACACAGCTGAGAGCCGACCTAGTAAACAAACTACTAATCCCTCCCCCCATAAAAGCGTGCCAGCTGAAAGGCACTACTGCTGCCCCTACATGCTACGCGGGAGCGTAACGAAAGATGCCCCCCCCCCCCAGACCATGTCCAATGCACATAGCAGTAAAAGCTGAACTTGGCTTACAGGTCTTACTAACAATAAACCGTTTTGGCTGGCTGTGAGGGTGCCCAACTAGACTGCAGCACTACGTAAGTGTGCCACTACAATCACTGTGTGTGTGTGGGGGGGGGCATTTACCCAGAATGCGAGTGGAGGCCGGAGACCTGGTACAGGATGTCAATCTCCATTGGCGTGATCTGACCAAACTTGTTGGCGGCGTTGACAAACTCCTCTGGTTTGAGAGACAGGGAAAGGGGGGCAGACAATGATGAGGAGGAGCGCGGTGGGGGGGCAGCTGAGAGCAGAGAGGGGCAGAGGATGGCCCGCCCCCTGGGGTACCTTTGGTGACCAGCGTATCCTTCCGCGAGCCGGCCAGTGTGCTGTAGATCTTGCGAATTAGCTCCATTTTGTTGAGCAGTGAGTTGAAGGCATTGAAGTAGGAGAAGCTGACCAGGTGTGAGGTGCCACCCCCCGCGGCCTGAGAAGGAAGGACAGCACGCTCAGGTGATATCGTCAGATCATGGAGAGGCCCCCCCCCCGTCTCGAATGACTCACCGACACCAGGTTCTCCTCCACAAAGGGTGTGAGCATGTGGTGCCGGATGGTGACCATGATGTCACTGAAGTCCAGAGCAGAGATGGCGCCGCTCTTCACCTTGTCCTTCTGTGCAAATGCCTGGCGGGCGTGCTCCAGCTGTAGCTCCTGGTGGGGGGGGGGGAGACGACACATCTAATGAGAAACAGGCCAGGTGGGGGCCAACCCCAGCATGCAGATCTGCGGAGGAAACAGGTGCGTCCGGCCCAGCTGGGGGATAATTGATCATGATTGCTTTGCAATCAGAGGGTGGTGGGGAGCGAGGGGTTACTGCTGTGGTCACAGACCTGATCTAAGCACTGGCCCCTCCTTGGCATTGCAGGCCAGCAGAGGGAACAGAAGACCTTGCTGGCTCTGGGCTGGGGCTGACTGCTACTTTGAAGGCTTCATTCAACCGTGGGGATCAGTAAGGGAACAAGGGGCTTCGAGGGACCCCAGCTTGCATCAGACCCCAACTTTCAGAGCCCCCTCCCTCCGCCTTCCCAATAAACTGAAGGACTACCATACACACATTAATGAAGTTTATGGCAAAACTTATCCTTCAAATGTTTTACTGCTTTGACTCTCACAAGCATAAAATGATGTTTGGGATTTAAGGAAAGCTAAGGCTGCATTCATTTCAGGTCTGAATTGTCTCAACAGTTTCAACAGTTATTTTTCTAGTGACATACTGCCGTTTTCCCGGATTCCGGCCTCTCAGCAGGAATGCAGACGTGATTTCACTCAACGCACCACCGTCTGCAGGATGTGGGGGGAAAAAAAACCCACAACATCCCAGGCACACCAGGAAATGGCCCCGGGTACGAGGTGGTCGGGCCTGTGGCGTTATCCGGCGAGAATGTGCGATGAAGGGAGGGCGTGTGTGTGTGTGTGTGTGTGTGTGTGTGTCAGGCTGCGTGACGGCACCGTGTGTCCAGCAGGCCGGTGTGACGCCCACGTCTGTGATTGGTGCTCTGCCTCCTCCCCTGAAGCACGCATGTTGCCGTTTCTGCAAACGTCAGACACTCAGCAACCTCACTAAATGTTTAGTGTTTGTACGAATCTATGGATACAAAATGCTTAAATAGAAAAACTTTGGTAACAGTTTACATTAACTGCACTTTCATAATGTTTTTACAATGCATCCGTAAAATTTTCAGAGCACTTTCATAATGCATTCATAAGCAGCATGGAAGCTTCCTTATATACCTAACATGCCTTAATAGCTTTCATACCAAACACTATACAATTATAATATGTGTAATTATCATATAATGCCTATTATTAATGTATATTAAAGCTGTTATGGCATGTTAGGATATTAAGATATACTTACGTGCTGCTTATGAATGCATTTTGAAGGTGTACTGTTCTATGAATGCACAATGAATGCATTATGAATGCATTATGAAGGTGCAGTTAATATAAAGCATTACCAAAACCTTTTCTCCCCCAGAAAATGATGTTTTGTAAATTTTTCTACAACATAATGTTCTGAATTTTCAGGGCTGACATAAAATTTTGGTGACTTGTGCTATCCATCTGTATCTTTAACACAGTGTAGCATGAGCTACAAAAGGCTCTCTAAATGAATGTTCATAGTTAAGACCCCTCTGGCAACGGTTGACTCGCCCCCCCCCCCACCTGCAGGAACTGCGTAAACTCCAGGTAGTTGAGGTGCTTCTTGCGGTCGTGGCCGAAATGCAGCCTGATGAAGTCACAGTTCCAGTTGAAGGGGATGTGATGGTGGACAGTGGTCTGACTAAAGATATCTTGGACATTTTCTGCAAGAAATGGAAGAAGGGCATTGTGAAGACAAACAGAATGGGTTTCTTGCGCTTAATGGGTCATTTTGGCAAGAAGGCCGACACCCCCCTGGCCTTCACGGCCTTATGGAGGTGAGACACCTTCCAAAAAGATCAATAAGTTCAAGTAACAAGGTGATGTGATACAGGTGAGACAATCATGTTATAAGGCGCTTTCACATTGAAGTTCCAGAACCTGGTCCCTGGTTACAAGTTCTTGTGCTGTCTGGACCAGGGACTTTTGAAGCTCCTGGCCACTTTCAGACCACACAACAGAACTGGGACCTTTATGGTAAATAAGCATTGGAGACAGGGGGTGCGTGCTGATTACGGCACATTGCCGCACCCACCACACGACGAACCACCTGAAGGATGAGAACCTGTGTGCAGCCATGCGGTGGGTGACACCTCAGCACCACACTAGTCTGAATGGACCAGTTTGAGTTTTTTCCCCGATAGCTAGAGTGCCAATCCGGACACCAACCCCCAAATTTCCCTGTAAGTTGGAGGGCCTCCATACAGGGCTAGATGGGGGTTAACATCATACCCAGGACAAAGCACCTTGCTCAAGGGCCCAACAGAGTAGTATCACTTCTGGCATCCAGAGGATTCGAACCAGCAACCTTCTGATTGCTGGCACAGATCCCTAGCCTCAAAGCCACCACTCCGCTGGTTAAACTTCCACTCCAGTTAAACTTCACACATAATTCAAAACTACACCCCCACCCCAAAACTATGGAGGATGAACGAGTTGTTTTGTTAAGCTATTTGTGACTTACTCAAAGGGAGCAACTGCAATCAAAACAGGACATAGCTTTTTATTTATATTTTATTCATATGACATGCGACATTATTAAATCTGGCCGGCGGATCAACCTTACGGTGTAACGTCTTAGCTAATAAGCACTGGCAACGTTCACTGCCACACCAGCAATATTAGACAAAAGTATATCGGTATAACGATCAAATTTTCCGATGCAGAAATATGGAGACGCAAGCAAACAAATTTATTCATTAAATGCAGCTGATGTACAAAGTTAATTTCATCTGCTTTTTTTTGCTCTGCTAATTATGTGTTGTCCCTGCACTTCCATGTAATTCTGCAAGTTAGCGGCGGTGCTCGTGATACACCAATCAGCAAGACATCACCGTGAGCGCCTCCCCAGTAGTTCCTGTTCAAAGATAAGCACCTAGTGTGGAGTAGTTCAGGAACCGCCTCCAAGGAGCTACAATTGGACCGAGTTCCTGCAGTGTGAACACGACAAAAGTTCCTGGTTCTGATTGCAGAAAAAAATTCTTGCAATGTGAAAGTGCCTATAGTATTTAAGGAGCCTCCAAAATAGGGAGAGAGTAAGGATGGGTCGAGGTTTGCCAATTTGCCAATAGACACGTCAGTGAATAATTCAGCACTTTGAGCACAACATTCTACAAAGACAAATTGTAGAATTTTGAACATCTCACCCTCTTCATTGCACAACTAAATTAAAAGACTCAACAAATCCAGTCAAATGTCAGTGAGTAAAGGGCAAGGTTGAAAACCAATTCTGAATGCACATGATATTCGACGCCTCAGACATCACTGTCTTACAAACCATCATGCTTCTGTAATCGATATCATGACATGGGCTTGGGAATACTTCACCTATCACTATTCACTGCTACATCCACAGATGCGAGTCAAGGCTTTACCATGCAAAGCAGAAGCCATATATCAACACTGCCCAGAAGTGCTGGTGAGTTCCCTAGGCTCAGGAAAGCAGCACAACGAAATAGCTTTTTATGGTCTGACGAGTCAACATGCTCTCACTCCAACACACGCTAACATGCATAGTCAAGATCTGACCCGAGTCTTGCAACTACAGCAATAAGCTTAAAAAAAGATGGTCTTACAAGCTTGGCACAAGGAACATAATGGCTATTGTCTCAGAATTGGAAAGACAGGCAGGAGTCTGCATGCTTTCCCCATGGTTTCCTGTGGGTACTATGGTTTCTCAGACAGTCCAAAAGACATACAGCTCAGCCACTACTGCACACGCCCTGCGATGGACTGGCATTCCAGCCCAGCCCTGTGCTACCTGCGGCACAACCCTGCCAGGGGTCAGTAGGTTAGAAAGTGAACGGATACTTATGATGGCCCTGAACTGAATATACAGTCACAGGAGATCGATGGATGAATCCATTTAAGATCTGTACTGCAGTTCTCTCATTCTAGATTCCTTTAGTAACGAAGATCTCAGAGATGACAGATTAGACAACATCCAAGAAAGATTTTACTCACATGAAGATTTTAGTTTTGTCCGCATAAGAGACATCACTGGGGGCGGGGGGGGGGGGGGGGGGAGGGTATATACTCACCAAATGAGATGTTCCCTGTGCCAGTCTTGTCAAATAACTGAAAGGCTACTATAAAAAGGGCATCCGGGACACACAGTACTGACTCAAAGGCGAGAAACTCCTGGAAAGAAATGAGCCTGAGGGAGAGAGAGACCATCATTAGCATGGCCAGACTGAAGAAAACTTCAACAAGAGAGACTCAACAACAGAGGCTAATCAGGTGATACATAAGTAACGTTACATCGGCAAGGCTGATCACAGAGGTCATTTTGCAAGTAAGCAAAGCAAAAAAAAAAAACACACTTTTTTTATTTAAAAAAAAAACATTCATGCAATTTTTTTTCTGAATTATCCATATCATGCGTCCACTGGAATTTTTGAATTCATATTCTAAAAGACTAAAAAATTGAAGACTGAAATTGAATACTAAATACAAAGCTTAGTGTCATCAAAATAGCTTGGGAAGCCATTACTTTCAAACAGAAGCTCTGAATGCAACAGGCGTTAGCTTCTGTCTCCTGAAAGAAACAATCGAACATAAACCAACACAAAGACAATATCCATCTCACAGTATTGCAGGAATTATATATTCAATGAATGGCAGTGTCACACTGTCTAGACTGAGCAGGACTGGATCCTCAACATAACTGCTTTTCATCAGCAATTCTAACATTTACGGGCATAATCACGTGAGAAGAGCAACTACTGCGTGTTTATGACAGATGATGACGGTTACTAATATTTACACTGACTGATATGGACAGAGCTTTTTCAGAAAATACAACTGGCCGTGAAATTTACGACATGCCATTGTCCATTCATATCTTTATCAAGCATCAACGACAGCTTTTCAAACTGACAGGTCTGAACTAAGAGAAGAGTATTGATGGCCTGTCACAGAAGAATGCGGAGAGTATTTAAAAAGGCAGACGCATTACGTGGAATGCCTGTCCGGAGTCAGGCCTGCCCCCCCCCCCCCCAGTGCAGGTGTGAGGCAGACAAGGCAGCTGCATCCATGAGTCTCAGGTGCACACACCCACCCGTCTTTAGTAGTGTCGGCCACCCCGGCAATGAGCTGGACCGTCTTGGGGTTGTGGTGGGGCTGTGTATGTAGGCCCAGGAACCTCTGTACAAAGTCAATCGGGGTCATGTAATGCTCGCCGTCCTTGTCCACAACGCTGGCATGCTGCAGAGAGGGGACACCCAAGCCCACTGAGACACATCCTGCGAGGAGCCAGTGCCCAGGCAGGCGTGGAAATCGCTGCCCTGCGAAAGCCTGACACACTGGGATCTTTCTCAAACTCACATCAACCACACGACATGCCATTCAATTTCTGTCGCTGTCTGAACAGGTACCTTTAGGAACTCTGAATACAAGGACAGGTGGGACATTGTCAAACTGTGTAAGACAAGTGAGATTTTATTCTACAGCTAAAAACATTCATTTCATTCTGTCATGATGCCGAACTGGAAGCCATATCGAATAGTTGTTCATATTTTCCTTCCCTTGTTTTTAATTGCCACACTAGGTGAAAAGGTCCCCATAAGTCATCCTCCCCCACGTTAAGTGGTACAGATTGCTTAATCTGTTTCCAGTCCACAGCGATCTTGCTTCTCACTTTATGCATCTCCAGGCCAGTTCCCAGCAGCCACGTTTCCCGTCATGCCTGTCATCTCTTTCACGTGAACACAAAGCCAGGTGAACGTGCGAGGACTGTAAATAAATGGTGGCCAGACCGAAAGCTGACAGGTGTGCATGGAGCAGAGGGACGCGCTGGTGCAGCCCTGTGCTGGAATGCTAACTGAGACACGATAGCTCAGTGTGCCTCCGGCCATGGTGCTCAACGGCAACGTTTCTCAACCCCGGTCTTCGGGGACCTCCAGGCACTCACATTTTTCCCAGCTCCAACAAACACGTGGACTATCTAGGGGTCCGCAAAGACTGGTTTGAGAAACAGGGCCCCCAGAGCCATAAAACACCAAATTTCATCCTTAAAAAAAAAAACACCCTCCCATAGAACTACTGCACCCACCACTGATGTTTGGCACTTATCTTCAATGCTATAACCCTTTTTAAGGAGGAAAATGCAAAAAATAAAAATAAAAAAGCACAGTCCTCCAAGGAGAAACATCTTTCTCCTTTTGAACGATAAAGCAGCAGTTTCATCAAATAAGTTTTACCACCGTGTTCCAGCGCTCTTCATGTTTTCACTGGTTTGATTAAGGTGGGGTAACAGCTAATTTGTACAGTAATTTCTGTCAACCCCTCTGAATAGAGTTTCGACACGTCGCCTATGGTAAAAACCCTTTAAACATAACTTCCTTAAGTAACATAGGACAACAAATTTCGTGCTCCAACAGGGATGGGACAAGAGCTGCAACCAAGAAAACACGCCCTGCCTGAAAGATAAGACAAAGAAAGCAAAATCGTAAGCAACCAGATGTCCGGCCAAACACAGAGGCCAATCTGCCACATTAAACACTCGGTAACCTCAGGCAACTTCAAAGCTTCACTGTATCATACAATCACATAAGATGAGCCAATAATAAATAGCATTTTTAAAACTAGATTAAACTGGCAGCCACAGTTCACTTATTTACCTACTAATTCCACTCTGGAACAAAAAGACTTCTTCAATTATTTATTTTGCTAAAAGCATATAAAAAAAACATTGACAGGACTTTTGATTCTGGGTAATTGTACACTTAATGGCATGTAGAGTCAGGAGAGGTCCATAAATAGAACTAAGTCAAATAAAAAACAGTGTACCAGTAGTTACTGTTTTTATCAGTATTATCCCCTGCGGTGCCGGGCCATGAGCCAATCATGGTGCACTACACATCAATGTGTACATGCCGATTCATAACCACGAGAACAAAAGCAGCCAATGGCATACGCTAATTATTCTGAGATGTCTTGACAATGGCTCCACAATTCGTTTTAAGCAATATCACTTTCCTGTCAAACGCCCATACAGCAAACAGGGTGAGCGCCGCCACACTCAGACAGCATAGGATTCACGTAAATTTAAAAATAAAACAAAATAACTAAACAAGGATGAATAGGGCCAGGAAAGCATCCAGGGACACCAGAAACCTTTCTTGTGAGGCTGTGGGCAGTATCCTTATGCATATTCCAGGCAGGTGGCCTGGGGTGGGCGGGGCTAATTTAGGGAGCCTAAGCAGGACACTGAATGTATATCATGTGTCAGACTGACTATATAAGGAAGTACATACATAAGATCATCCACCTCTTTTAATATACACAAGCAGTAACAGTTTGAAATTATTTTCTGAGAATTACGCATTACTTCATTACAAATCTGGATTGCACTGAATATCAAATAAATACATGGGTGGAGATTTAGGGAACAGGGTTACACTGTAATGGATCAGGTGAGGGTGAACGGGGGGGGAGGAGACCTGCAAAACTGCAAACCTTACAAGTGGTCAAATATACACTAGACTGCTGAAGAATGTCTCACGAACCAAGTGTAACGAATAACAACGGATAGCAACTACCACTAAAACGCATAACGGTACTACACTCACCTTCAAGAAGATAGTCTTCAGCTCATTCGGATCGGCTCTCTTTGTTGATTGCACCTATAAGGCACACCACAATATGATTTCCAGCAAGGGTAGCGTGCATATCAGTAACGATAATAATAACAAAGTGAATAAAGTGTAATGCATCTAGAAACACCCCGAACTAGCAGTGGATGAGTGCTCACATCCGCAGACAGCGGTGATATCTGAATCGATCGGCTTCATTTCTGAGAATCTGACAGCTTTTATATAGAAAGCAGTATTATATTTATTAATCATTTATCTTAAATACCAGAAACACCTAAGCAGAACCGCTCACACAGCAACTAGCTGTAGCAGGGCAGCATCAGCTTCCTTTAACCGTTATACTAAACAAATCCCGCAGCTTTACAACACGCTGACGCTCATTTAGACAACAGGTATGCAGAAAATGCCTTAAACGCTGATCAATTCAGTTCATCGAGGACACACCGACAAAACATTGCACAAGAAAATGCACATAAGTGTCCAGTGTGATGCCAAACAAGAGGCCGGGCTATTGGGAAATGCTAAGAACAATACGTGCATTAAACTGGAACAAACACCATACTAGCTGAACACGTAAACCGCAATATACTGACTGCGCGTGTATAAGAATGTTGAAAATATCATTAGAAAAAATAAAGTAACAGTAGCTTTTGATCAATGTATTATAGCCAGAGTCACCTTGACCGCCATGCTGGATGTGACGTCACGCGGAGTGGCTGGCGCACGCGCTCGCTCGTGGGGTGTTGAGGGGAACCCACGCGGGGGTGTCAGTGAGTGTGTGGAACGAGGATGCTTAAAACTGTATGAAACACTGTTTATTAACTACCTCCGAGATCATGTGCAGGCAGGGCTGGTTGTTAAAAGAAATCGCATGAAATTGTTTTGTTCTCTGCCAAGAAAAATGTAGCCGTGCGGCATACCAGGGTGTGTGCATGATGTCCCGGCCAGCGATGCGCTGATTCAAATGGTGCAAACCGATTGAATGCAGTCATTAACCCTGCAACCAGGGATACCTGCTATTATTTTAATTAATATAAATTTTACTTAAAAGCACATCATTGATGCATAGCCTATAATATTGTATTTCGGTGTTAGATTAATGTGTTTCCCATGTCTGCAAACCTAATCCTGTTTCTAATACAGCCGAATTAAATTAGTAAAAACTGAATTAATTGACAAACTATTTAAATTCTTAACTAATAATGAGCATGATAAGCGACGGGTGCTCTAGATTAAAGGTAGCTTGTAATCGCATTTAACACAGTTTAGAAAGTTTTAACAGTTGATTGTTTTGTTTTTTTTGGCAGTTTCTTTGAGATGTTTAGGTAATTTGTTACCCTGCTCTCTGCTTTAATTGGTTTTTATTCTTAGCAATGGGCAGCAGTACTATGGATACCAAGTAACTGCCAAGGAATCTGCGGTGGCGCAGGCTGCGCGCGCCGCATTTCATTTGCTGCTGGAGTAAGTCCCCAGCTCCAGTAACAAATTTAGGAGTTTTCTGAATATGTCGAGAACTTATCGGTGATTTTCTCCATCCTAACAGGATAGGTTATACTGATTCTGAATACAAGAATCAGGTCGGGTCATACCGACCGAAATTTGCTCCCAAATTCAACATGGATAAAATCAAACGCTGGCGGACGCTGACGCATGGATTTACAGCAAACAGCTGTGGCATTTTGACATTGTGACTTTAACTGTGTCACTTAAAATGAAATATTTTTCTTAGCAAGCTTGCAGCTTGGATTGCCAACAGATTGTTTTGTATCTGTGTTATGTTCTATAATCAAGACGAAAACGGCAAAAATGCACTGGGGAAAGTATCAGTTATCAAATACAATTACAATCATAAGTATATTTATTTTGGAGATAACACACTGTCAACATTTCAGCGTACACTAAAAGCCAGAAGCCAACTCCCTCAGACAAAGAGGAACCTAGTCCTGTTTCCATGGTAGAGGGTAGTTGGTCCAAAGTTTACAATTAATGTGTAGGTCATCCAGATATGGCCCTTCTGGATCAGCCACAGTATCCCACATAATTGTTTTTTTCATTTATCGTTGGCTTTCTTGTAGTACTATGAACAAGCAATGGGGTCATTCACATATTTGATTATCTCAAGAGAGATTCCCCCTATGAGTATTATATTGTCACCGTGGCACTGTTAGCACCATTCCAAGATAAGAATGGGGATATTCCCAAATAAGATAAGCTATTTAAATGCTATTTTAGGATGCAGTAACCCATTGTAGCTTAGAAGAGAATTAATCAGATATTTAATAGGTTTTGCATGAGCTAACTAGAAAAGATGCTGTTGGAACGACAGCAATGTATTCCCCGGACAGGACCACCACCCCATCTAATCCTTACTCCTTCTGCACCCCAACCTCTACAATTTCTAGAATTACTGGATGGATTAAATTTTTCCCTGACATAACAGTAAGAGCTGTAATAGATACATAAGTGTTATATATGGAGCCCTGGGGGGGCCACGGAGAGTTTGTTTTTTTAATTTTGTGTGCATGATGTAGTAAATATGAGGCTGGTCTCTGTCACCACACCATTGCCACGCCCCCCACACACGTTCTCCCTCAGCCAA